AGGTGTTCAGAATGGTTTGATCCCTATCCAGCTGAATTCCTGAGAGGAGACGAAATCCAGGTGTCCTACTCCTCCGCCATCTTGCTCCGCCCCCTGTCATTGGGTTTTGATAGGGATTGCATTGAATCTGTTTATCACTTTAGGTGGTATGGACATTTTAACAATAGTAATTCTTCCTATCCATGAACATGGGAACCATATAGACATTATGGGAGTCTAAGAAGGAGCAGAGTAAGAAAGGGGACAGAAAGCTTATTTAAAGAAACAATGGCTGAAAACTTCCCAAATCTGGGAAGGAAAATAGACACCTAGATTCGTGAAATCCAAAAGACCCCAAATAGCTAGAACCTAAAGAGGTCTATACTGAGACATATTTTAATTAAATTGTCAAAAATCAAAGACAAAGAATTTTGAGAACAGCAAAAGAAAAATGACTTGTCACGTACAAAAGAACCCCTATAAGACAGTCAACAGATTTCTCAGCAAAAATCTTATTGAACAGGAGAGAGTGGAATGCTATGTTCAAAGTGCTGGGGGCAAAAATCTGTTAATTAAAAAATGTGTGTCTGGCTAACATGTCCTATCAAAATAGAGAGAAGAAGGTTTTCCCAGAAAAAAAACTGAGGGAATCAGTCATTACTAGACCTTCCTGACAAAAAGTGCTAAAAGGGAATTCTTCAAGTGGAAATAAAAAACATAAAAGTATATGAAAATGGGGCACTTGGGTGGTTCAGTCAATAAAGTAATTGGCTCTTGATTTCAGCTCAGGTCATAATCTCAGGGTCATGAGATTGAGCCCTGAGTAGTGCTCTGCACTCAGAGGGGAATCTGCTTGTCCCTCTCCCTCTGCTCCTCACCCGCTTGCTCTCTCTCTCAAATAAATAAATAAAATCTAAAAAAAAAAAGCATATGAAAGTATCAATCTCACTGGTAAAAGTAAATTCAGAGACAGATACAGAATAATGTAATACTATAATGTTAATGTATGTTAATCACTTTTAACCCTAGCATAAAAGTTGAGAAAGAAAAGTACTAAGAATAACTATTACTTTTAAAATACATTAATGAATACACAATATAAAAGATGTAAATTGTAGCATCGATAACATAAAGTGTGGGAAGGAGAAGTAAAAATGTAGTTTTTGTATGTAATCAAAGTTAAGTTGTTATGAACTTAAATAGACTGTTATAAATATAAGGTGTTTCATGTAAGGCTCAGGGTAACCCTCCAAAAATATCTAAAGAAAGTACACAAGAAAAAGAGAAAGAAATTAAAGTATATCAATGCAAAAAATAATAAAATTTATATTTCTAGAATAGAAATATAACAACTCAATTTGAAACAACTATTAAAAACTTAAGCAGAAATTTCTTGAGACAAAAGTAAAACAAAATCATTTTTTTAAAAACCTATAATACCTTGATTGGGGGAAAATACAGTTTACACAGTCATATAAAAATGTTTCAGAATATAAAACAAAAATATGTATTAGACCAACACAAAGAAAAATAAGGTTACAGAATAACATAAAATACTATTCACAAAAACAAAGCACAGTAATGGTAAAGTGTCATTTTATATTAATTGATTAAGGATACTTTTCACGATAAATGTAAAATCATAAACTCCATGGCTCAAAAGTGATAAATAAAAAGTACCATGCGAATTATTGTGCAAATACAAGGAAAACTTAAAAATGTAGTTAATACCAATAGGAGGCATTTACAGAAACCAGAGTATTTAAAGATTATTAGGAAATATAATCAATATGATCAGACATGTATTGACTTTCTGCCCTATAAATAGAATAAATACTTTTATTGTTAAATTAAATACAAATTAAGAACTTGGTAAAATTGAAAAATTATCAACTTTTAGAAACCTTAATTTTAATTTAACTACAATATAAAATCTAGAAGTCATGTAAACAAAGTCTATACATGTCATCATTTTAAAAATTTAACTATTGTACATTTCTCTATCCAAGAAAAAAATGGAAAGAAAAAAGGAAACCTGGAAATTCAGACTACCTAGAAGAATATTATAATAAGAGGAATCTATGATTTTATTTCTAATGTGTGCTTAAGACAGCCAAGACCAGCTCATGAGTCTATTTTAAATTTTTAAGAAATTTGTGAGTGGTATTAAGGAGGGCACATGCTGTGATGAGCCCTGGGTGTTGTATGCAGCTGGTGAATCATTGAACACTGCATCAAAAACTAATGAAGTACTATATGTTGGCTACTTGAACATAATAAAAAAATCTTCTCTGAAAAAAAGGAAAAGGAAAGAAATTTGTGAACCAATTAACATCACGTTGGTGATGTGAAATCGGATTTGGCAGAAGTATTTACACCACAGGAATTGGCAAATACTAGCCTGAGAGCTAACTGTTAAACTTTTACCAATGATCTACTAGGTATAAAGATATTAGCAAATGCAAATGAATAGACTTAAATATTTTTAATTTACCAAAGTTAAAAAAAATGAATGAGCTATATCTTAAATTCAAAGTCTTGGTGGACAGAAAAGCTAAAAACTTATCTAAGGAAACACATTGAATTAATAAAAAATAAAACCACAAATTAAGGGAGTAATATAAAAAGCTTTTAAAGCTAACAAACTAATCTCAAAGTGGATTCTTCAGAATAATGAATAAATACAGAATACCACAACTTTACTAGTCAAATCAATACATGGAAGGAAAACACAAATTTTATTATAATTAGAAAATGATATACAAGTCTAGACTGGACAGAGGTTCTAAAAAAAAAAATTCAATGAAGAACTTTCTCCTGACAACTTTAAAAAGTTAATGAAATGGTCATTTTTAAGAATAAAAACTACTAAATTGCTAAATAGTAAATAGAAGGCATGGTCACACTGAGAGCCAAGGAATACACTTGAGAATTTTCCAAATAATTTTCTTCCTAGACATAGATTTCTTTTCCCAGTTATTTAACACTTAAAAAATTATATAACATCATCAAAAAATAAAAAAGCTAAGAGGATAGATCCTATGTTATGTGTTCTTAACACCCACACTAATAATGATAATAAAGGGGGCAACAGGAACCTTTGTAAGATGAAGCATATGCTTATGGCCTTGACGGTGGAGATGGTTTCATAGGTATGTTCTTATTCCCAAACTTATCAAGTTGTACACATTAAATATGTACAGCTTTTTACAAATGGATCATATCTCAATAAAATGTTTAACAACAACAACAAAGCCTAAAGTGAATCCATGCTGCTCTAAAAACTAACTAAATAAAATACAGTTGACAGCTTTAAAAAGTGTTTAGGAAGCCTTTATCCTTAATTCATTCCTTCACAATTTTTTTTTAATTTCAGAAGCGTAAAGACAGAGAAAAACTTTTTTTTCTTTTTCAAATGTTCATTTAAATTCTAGTTATTTAACATATAGTATAATATTGGTTTCAGGAGTAGAATTTAGTGATTCATCACTTACATGTAACACCCAGTGCTCATCACAGTGCCTTCCTTAATCCCTGTTCACCCATTTAGTCCATCTCCCAACATCCTCCCTCCATCAACCTTCAGTTTGTTCTCCATTGTTAAGAATCTCTTATGGCTTGTTTCCCTTTCTCTCCTTTTTTCTCCCTTCCCATATGTTCATTTGCTTTGTTTCTTAAATTCCACAAATGAGTGAAATCATACGGTATTTGTCTTTCCCTGACTGACCTATTTCACTTAGCATAATACACTCTAGTCCCATCCACATCAATACAAATAGCAAGATTTCATTCTTTTTGATGGCTGAGTAATATTCTATTGTATATATACCATATATATACCACTTCTTCTTTATTCATTCATCAGTTGATAGACACTTGGGCTCTTACCATGTCTTGTCTATTGTTGATAATGCTGCTATAAACAACAGGGTGCCTTTATCCCATCTGTATTTTTGTATCATTTGGATAAATACCTAGTAGTGCAATTGCTGGGTCATAGGGTAGTTCTATTTCTAAGTTTTTGAGGAACCTCCATATTGTTCTCCAGAGTGGCTGAACCAGTTTGCATTCCCACCAACAGGATAAGATGGTTCCCCTTTCTCCATATCTTCACCAACATCTGTTGTTTCCTTTGTGTTAATTTTAGCCATTCTGACAGGTGTGATGTGGCATCTCATCGTGGTTTTGATTTGTATTTCCCTGATAATGAGTGATGTTGAGCATCTTTTCATGTGCCTGTTAGCCATCTAGATGTCTTCTTTGGAAAAGTGTCTATTCATGTCTTCTGCCCATTTCTTAACCGGATTATTTGTTTTTTGAGTGTTGAGTTTGATAAGCTCTTTTAAGATTTTTCTTGGCAACGACGTGGATGGAACTGGAGGGTGTTATGCTGAGCAAAATAAGTCAATCAGAGAAAGCTCTTTTAAGATTTTAGATACTAACCCTTTATCAGATATGTCATTTGAAAATATCTTCTCCCATTCCACTGGTTGCCTTTTAGTTTTGTTGATTGTTTCCTTCACTGTGCAGAAGCTTTTTATCTTGAAATCCCAGTAGTTCATTTTCGCTTTTATTTCCTTTGCCTACGGCAATGTGTCTAGTAAGAAATTGCTGCAGCCAAGGTCAAAGAGGATGCTGCCTGTGTTCTCCTCTAGGATTTTGATGGTTTCCTGACTCACATTTAGGTCTTTGATCTATTTTGAATTTACTTTTGTGTATGGTGTAAGAAAGTGGTCCAGTTTCATTCTTCTGCATGTTGCTGTCCAGTTTTCCTTCCCAAAACCATTTGTTGAAGAAATTGTCTTTTTTCCACTGGATGTTCTTTCCTACTTTGTTGAAGATTAGTTGACCATAGAATTGTTTTTTCTTTCTTTTTCCTCTCCTCCTCCTTTATCTTTTCCCAAGTTATTTGGTTTCAGTGAAATCTGTTCCTAGAAAAATCATCATCAGTGTTAGAAGAGCCCAAAAGATCAGTTTCTTTTTTTTTTTTTAAAGATTTTATTTATTTATTTGAGACAGAGAGAATGAGAGAGACAGAGAGCACATGAGAGGGGGGAGGGTCAGAGGGAGAAGCAGGCTCCCTGCCGAGCAGGGAGCCCGATGAGGGACTCGATCCCGGGACTCCAGGATCGTGACCTGAGCCAAAGGCAGTCGCTTAACCAACTGAGCCACCCAGGCACCCCCCAAAAGATCAGTTTCTTATAGGAAAAATGAAGATCAAGGCAAAGTTTTCATCATTTCAGAGACCCTAGTAAAACCAAGTAAGAACTTATTTAATTATTACTTAATAAATACACATTCCTTAGCAGATCAAATATTTTAAATATGAGATGCATAGGAGCATAGACATAAAAAGACACTCTGGAAGTGAAAATAATCTAGTTTAACTGCATGATTTTTGTAAATAAGATTAGAATGCTCTAGGAAAAGGATATTTCTTGTTTGCTAGTAGATTATTTATGAAACCTGAATTAGAGACCAAACCTAACTCTAAGTCTAATTTGTTTATTCTTTTCCATAACGCCATGCTGTGTCTTTTCAACTGAACTTGCTTATTAAAGTATTCTACTCCAGTAAGAAAGTAATTAAATATTTTGGGAATTTCCTGTGTTATTATTTTTATTACACCTCTAGTCACAAGGTAGACACAGTATTTAGGCCAATTTTCAAGGATTGAAACTAATATTTAAATGTGTATCTCTATAAATGGGATAATATCTCTTTCACAGTGGGACCAGCCAACGACAGACGTTTCTGGGATGAATTATTGAGGAAAACCTGTGGTTGTTGATCTATGGACCACAGTATGCAGGGCTGTTTGTTTTAATGAGGAAAGAGTGATCTACATGTGCGGTTGGATGCTTTGCTGGGAGCTGAACCAATACATCTTTCTCAAAGGAAAACGAGGAAAAAATAATCTATCAAAACTACTTGACAGCCACCTGATCAACATGCCATATTTGTTTAATGAAGACATTGTGGCTAGTCCATTCATAACCATCCATTTTCCACACATAAACAAAATTTCCCAACTTTGCCTTTGCCTGTGATGGGGCCTGGAGCAATTAATGTGCAGCTTAGGAGAGCCCTACTGCCGAGCAGAGCTAATCAGGGAAGTGTTTTCTGAAGACACAGAATTCTGAGCTTGCCATGTCTGATTAAGGTTAATGGTAATCATGCATATCAGTGTCATGTTATTTGTTCTTCTGGAAGGCCTGATATTATTTGTATAAATAGCACTATCTAAAGGTTATAATCCACAGTTTGCATTTAAATTGAGGTGCATTTTTTTCAACAATTAAAAAAAATAAGCTTGGGAATATGTATCTCAAGGAAAAGCTTTTTGTTCACTTTTTTTTTTCCAAACAGACCTTTGTGCAAAACTGCATCCATTTTGAACATTGACATGTTTTTATTTCCTATTTTCTTGGGTTGCATGGCAAGGTGACAGGGGAAGGGAGATATGAAGGAGGTAGAATTTGTTTAAAACATCTTGTGATAGGTGCCATCGAGTTTTAAAGATGATTCATTATTTTTTATAATGACTGTGTAACGTACACATTGTTGCTTCAACTCACAGAATGGAAATTAAATCTTAGCTTAATTACTTGACCACATTCACACAGCTCTGAAGTGCTGGAGCCAAGAGGAAAACGGAGCTTTGTTTACTCCACATGTCTCAGTGTTTAGATCCTGGATCAGACTCTATTTATATCAGGACAATAAGCTGGGGGTTTATCTTGCTAGTTGTCTGGTATTGGACAAATCACCAAACTTCTCTGAGCCTTGGTTTAAGGTAGTGATACTAAATAATCTATTTTCTTATCTGTCATTGAACCAATTCCAAGAAATCTGTACCTTAGCTTTCTCTTCTGTAAAATGGGAATGATTATAGATTTTACCTCATAGGCTTGTTATGAGGACAGGATATGTTGGCATATGTAAAATGTTTAAAGGATTCCTAATATACTGCAAGTCAATGTAGGTGCCACAGTTATGGTTAAGGTGAAAGGTAATATGTGTCGCACGCAGAGCACAGCAAAAGGAATGTCAGCATTGATAATTAGGAATCAATAGTAACAGTGGTAACAGTCATGGCAGCAGAAACAGTTGAGTACTGTATTACAATTATTATTATTAACATTGATAGAGTAGTCCTGGTAAATAAAAGCCTCCAGTCTAATAAGCATATTATGGAAATACATTTGCTGGGGGCAAAATTTGAATAGTGAATAACTTTTCCACTATATAGATAACTAATGGGAATTTCTGGAAATGAACTGATTGTTTAATAAATTCTTCCATTAGGCTTGAGAATATGACTGTATGACTGTGCCTTAGTTTCATTTTCTTTCCAATTATTTTTTTTCACTTTGCTGTCAGGCTGATCTTTCACGTATGTAAATTTCATCATATTCTTCATGTATTTTTGTGTCTTCCAATAATGCTTCCACTGAATCTTCCTAAACCTGTGTTTTCCTCCCTGTGTTTCTGAGAACTATCCAATAGATCAGATAGAATTTCTTTAAAAAAAAAAAACTTAGGGGCGCCTGGGTGGCTAAGTTGGTTGAGCGACTGCCTTCGGCTCAGGTCATGATCCTGGAGTCCCAGGATCAAGTCCCGCATCGGGCTCCCTGCTCAGCAGGGAGTCTGCTTCTCCCTCTGACCCTCCTCCCTCTCATGCTCTCTGTCTCTCACTCTCTCTCTCTCAAATAAATAAATAAAATCTTTAAAAAAAAAACTTAAATGATATATCACATATAAAATATAAGCGTATATGGCATGTCTGCTGCATTCTATTCTTAATTTTTATTAAGCAAAAAGACAAATGTACGTGAACTCTCGTCCTGATTTAATGATGATTGCAATTGTACATGCCATGTTTCTTTTGAATGTACAATTCCTCTGAGCCTTAAAAATCTGGAGAGTAGTCCTCACATTTGGATTTGATTTCCTAATTCACTTTCTACTAGGGTAAGTTTACAGACAGCTGTGTCAGATTTGGCTTTCCACTTGTTTATGGAGATGTTTTGTAACAGTGAGTAGGTAAAGAAATAAGATGGCTAAAATAAACATTCATATCCTAGCAAACATTCTGATACCAATTGACCTCAACACTCACAGGAAACTGTAGCTCATCCTGTCCCAGGCGTGTAGCTGTTGCAAATGGTTTCTACCCTCCTTAAGCCCCACTCCCCTTTTACAATGCAGTAAGTGGTTTTGCTTTTTATTTCTCCAGGATTAATATCATTGGAAATAAAAAGCCAAAAAACATTTACTTGTTCGTTGTTCTCTTGAACCCACCCGCCTCACATGCTCTTATTCTCTCCTGCATTCAAATACTAATCATTCTATTTGGAAACTCAATTAACTCAATTCTCACCTAACACGGGGATAGATCAGTACGTGTTCCAGAATGACTCCTGAAAAAATGCTAAAATTACATCTTCATTTTCTCCCTCTTGTAACTTTCAAGTAAAACACATTCCCAAATCTCTATCAGACTAAATAAAACCAAATGTACCTTTCAGGCTTCCTGAACCTTCAATTTATGACTTTAATTTTCACCTTCCTTTCACCATTGTGCTTTGCTTTTTAATCAATTATTTACTTGTTTCTAATTTTAATCACACTTAGCAAGTTGACTTTTACTTCTACCTTACGCCTGACAATGCTATTTTACATGTAAGAGAGCTATCATTTTTATGCAACTTTGAGGCCATTGTTCTAACCTCTCCCCTAGAAAGTCCTTTCCTCCCTCAGCTTCCCACCACATTACACCAGCTCCTTCCCCTCCTTATTCTAGAGGAAAACTGTCTACAGAGTGATGGCAAGAGATTGACACCTCCAGAGAAAAGGTTGCATACAGCAAGCATATAATTCAATCAAGTATACAGACCTTTCCTGGAGGAGAGAGTGTTAAAACTGTTCAATGTTATTTAGCTTGAGAAAAAATGTTGCTGTTATGGAGGTGGTAGTATGTGTAATGATTTTTATAAAGTTTTCTAAATATACAAAAGGGGCACTTGAGTGGTTCAGTCAGTTAAGCGTCTGACTCTTGATTTCGGCTCAGGTGATGAACTCAGGGTCATGAGATGGAGTCTGCTTGGGCTTCCTGCGCAGAGGGGAGTCTGCTTCTCTCCCTCTTCCTCTCCTCCTGCCCCTCCCCATCCCACTCTCTCTCTCTCCAATAAATAAATTAAATCTTTAAAAAATAATAAATATCTCCCCAAATTTACATTTACTCTAAATATATGCATCAGAAGTATAAAAGATTGAGAACATGTATTTATCTTCTTTCTTCCCCCAAATATCACTGAAAATGTAGTAGAAGAAATATCAACCCAAAAGGAAGCAGAAAGACAACAGTAGGCAAAATTGTTCATTACCTTCTTTTTAAAGAAGAGCAGACAAGTGATGCGCAAACCAAGTGGTTTCCTGGGAGATTTGGACAAGAATGAAGCTAAATACCCCTGCAGAACCATGTGTAGTCTCAACATTTTGGTATCCACTACAAGAGAAGGTGAGGTGAAGAACAGAGTTCAAAACCAGGGAGTGGCTGGAGAGAATGCATAAGCAATATATATTGCTGAAAATGAAAAACAATCCTCACATCAACATCCTCACTGTGAACTAAATGATATTATTTTTCCCATTTATAGATGAAGAAAATTGCAGATGAATTGGTTAAATAATTTTTTCAGGATTAAATATCGAAAAAGTGGTGAAACTGGGTTTCAGATGGGAATAGCCTAGCTCCAACCACCATGCTTGGTACTCCTATACCCACTGCGGTGAAGGGTGCACACACAGGTACAACTTACCTACTGACACAAAATAATACAGTGTGTGGCTTAAAAGAATAGAGAAAAAAAGAGAAATTTATAGATGTTT